GTGCTGCTAGGGCTGCCCTTCGAGGCTTCAGCTTCATGCAGGTGTACATGGCAAAGCCAAGGCATGCTGCAAAGATAAGAAAGCGCGCACAAGGATGCACAGGCAATTTCTCAGCTGTCATGGAGGGTCTAGCGGTGAATCCACTCTCCTTTGTGTCCCTCGCGAGGGTGTGATGGCCAAAGAGTCGCGTCGCCGGTCAAGTGTGTCCAGGCTCCGAGTCTGAGGCACTTCAATTGAAGGTGCAAATCCTGCGCTGCTGCCCTCGCCTGATGGCCTCCGCTTCTTCTTTTCCGAAGAACAGGGTTTTCCAGGCGCGGCAGGCCTGCCTTTCCTGATGTTTGGTGCTGAGAGCGTGGTGAGCCTGGCGGTTGACACATCCTAAGCGCAGCCAGCTTGCGCCCCGTTCCCAGGCGCCTGGGTGGCCTAGGTTGTGCCTTTCCCTCTTTGCTAACTGCGAGCAACAGGTAGCTTCCTCTCATAAAGGCAGGAGCAAGTACGGCGTTGCGTCAGCTTGCTGTCTACTCAACGTTGGCTCCCGTCCATGTAAGTTTCGATTGAAGTCTGCCTTGTGAGGAATTGTGGCGAAGCTGATCAAGCGTGGGCTACGATACGCGCAGCACAGCCTGTCTTGGTCTTCTGTGAGAATGCACGGGCAACTAGTCCAGTCAAATCAAGAGTCGGAATTCACAGACCAACAACTCGGTGTGGTCGGTGATACAGTGCTACGTTATGTGCTGCTAATGCTACCGACAGCTAGGCACTGGTCCTGGCACAAATTTAGGCCATTGCCGGGAAAAAAGCTTGGATTTGGACAGCTCCCAAAGCATGCAGTGCTGCTGGCCCTCAAGTGCTCCTGCACAGGTACAGCATCGCTTGCACAAAGGAGGATCTGCCTTTCCGCATGGTTCTTCGAAGACCGCGCCGACACCGCCCTTTGCAATTACTTCGACTCTCATGCGAAAGTCCTTCGTCACCCTTTCAACGAGGATCTTGCTCTGAAGCTACAGTTGCTCGGGATCCTGATGTCAACCTGTCGAGCAAGTGCCTTAGGCCACGCTTATTGTGTCGCTTGCTCGAAGCTGTACAGGTCCTCGCACGACTGTTTGATCAGGAAATCAGCTGTTCAATAGTCTCTGAATAGGAGCTCTTCGAACATGGGCGCCCCAGCAAATGATGTTAGTGCAAGCGGCCTCACGTGGATACTTAGCGAGATGCCAAACAGCTGGGCCGAGAAGTCTGCTCGTCTTTGATGTCGCTTTGCAATTGCGTCTTGGGGGTTGTAGTTCTTTGCATTCTGGAAAAAAAGATAGGTTTGAAGTTTGTCGCAACATGGGTGTCTTCTGCTACATGTACATATCTGCGTGTTAAAGATATGCGACTGTCGGTGCCCCGAAACAAGCATCAGCTACTTTAATGACCCACCAGCTTTCAAGAGAGATGACACATGCGCTTCTGTCTGTGTGTTAGTCTCTGTCTGTCCGTATTTGTCTCTGTCTATCTGTCTGTGTCTGTGCCTCTCGATCTGTGCTTATTCATGTTTGTATTTCTGTTTGCGTTTCTATCCAATGCCTCTATCCGTCTCCATTTGGCTATAGTTTTCTCTGATAATCTCTTTTTATTTATATTTACGTCTGCTTGCTTGTTTGTATTTCTCTATATCTGTCTCTGATTATCTAGATTTATCTACATCAATTGACGTTTATTTTGATTTTTGTTTCTCTCATAAAGTTTTATTTATCTCTGTCTCTCTTTATTTGGATTTGTCGGTCCCTGTTTTTGCATTTGTTGATCTCTATCTGCTTGTGTGGTTTTTTGTCCGGCTGCTTGTTTGGCTTCTTGCTTTTTTATCTCTTTATTCATATGTTGAATTTCTTAAATATCTAAAATATTTTAATTATTTGATAATCGAATTTTAGCCTATGATTGGAATCGAAGATTCCGAATTTATTTCAGAATTCATGAGATATAGAATTTTCATAAAAAGAATGATCTTGAAAAATTCGCGGATGAAATTAATTCTATTCGATATTATTCTTATAAAGAAATATATGATCTAGAAATGAAAAGGAATTAAAAAAAAAATGATATTAAAAATATGAATCTTTAAGAAAATTATATTATTTATGAATATATTGGAAATATATTCAAATTTTCAAATCTATCGATTAATTTTTCTCGATCTTAAAGAAAAATATATTGGATTAAAAATATAATATTTTATTTTTTTCGAAAATATGATATATTTCTTAGAAATATATCTATAATAAATGAAGTTATATATCGATTTATATATATATATATATCTCTTACTTGTTCTGGATTTACTCTTTAATTCTTTATATTCTATTTCGCGATTCATTTAACTTTATAGAAAGCAAAAAATATAAATAATACGATAAATTTAATATAATCCTCTACTATATTATGATATATTCAAAAATATGATTGCACATTATTCTATATCTAATAATATCGATTCTATAAAACGCTACGGTTAAATTGGCTCTATACGGTATAGCACGCTTTAGATTTCAAAATTTTAAAGAAATTTATAGACTACGGCGCGCGAGTTGAAAATTAGAAGCTCGGGCTTCAGCTTTAATATGGCCGGGCTTCTTCGAAGGTCTCGGGCTACGCCCATTCTTCCAAAGTTTTAGAAAATCTACGGATCCCGGTAGCTCGACGCCTCGGCCTCGAAATTTCCATCAAATTTTCAGTTATCGGATCTCTAAATTAATTTTTCTAAAAATTTAGATACCGAAAATTTTCATATAATTTAGATAAAATGAATACAGCCTTCTAATATCTTATGTTCTAAATACAGAATATATAAGAATATATGTTATAATTATTTTGTGGCCTTGGATTGGAATATCGTGCCTTATTCATTCATGTAAGTTATCGATCATAAGAATTTTCCCATATAGTGCTGTGGAGCAGCGCTTGCGCGCGAAACTTCAGTATCTGTCTAATTCTCTGATGAAACTTGTCTTACTTATATTGGGGTCTTGGCTGATATTTGCTTTAACCAAGGATATTATGAAATATTCCTGCATAATGAAGTGCATCATGACGTGTTTTCAATTTGATGGTTACCGTTGGCTCTTATACAGCCAATTCCAGTCGACGATAAATTGCATAGAGGGATATTGTACCTCTATATTATTATATCCTCTCCTTGGCTATGTAAAAGACCTCGCGTCTTATTTATAATTCTGCCTTCAGCCTTCGGCATGCCACTCTGGATGTAATTTGTCGCAAGGTGCTGTCACTTGAAGCTTGGCTTCACTTTTGGGGTGGTTACCTCTGGCGCCATGAATCGATGTCAACGTATATGATAAGATATCTAAGTGTCCGTGGTTGATTTTGGCACCGAAGAATTCGATATCAATTTGTCTGTAGCTGCACCGCTGCGCGAGATTTGCGCCTTCGTGCTGAGACTTGGCGCTTTAAATTTTCTACAAATTTTCAGACTTGGGCTGTCGTTGCCGGAATACTGCCATGCTGCATGTTCCACATGAACACCGCTGCTGGAAGCAGCGTGTCATCTATTCTATAAAACGCTACGGCGCCTAACTGGCTCTATGCGGTGCAGCACGCTTCGGGGCGCCTAAACTTCAAAATTTTGAGCCGGTTCGACCTACCCAGGACTGAAAATTTCCGGAAAATTTAGAAGCTCATGGCTGCTCTTCGGTGGTCTAGGGCTAGGCCCCGTCTTCTAAGTTGTTGGAAAATTTGGGGCTCGACGCCGAAATTTGCGGAAAATTTTCAGTCATCGGTTCTTTAAATTTTCAAAAAATTTAGGCACCGAAAATATTCGGAAAATTTAGAGAAGAATGAATGCAGCCTTTTAATGTCTTGTGTTCCGAATGCAGAACATGTGTTACAGCCATTTTGCAATCTTGTACTGGAACATCGTGCTTCATCCATTCACGTGAGATATCGATCACAAGAATTTTCACGTAGTGCTATGGAGCAGCGCTTGCACGAGAAAATTCAGTATCTGTCTGTGTGTTTGTCTGTCCGTCGGTCCGTCCGTCGGTTTGTCTGTTTGTCTGTTTGTCTGCCTGTCTGTTTGTTTGTCCGTCTCTCTGTCTCTCTTTCTGTCTCTTTCTCTTTGTCTTTCTTTCTCTGTCTCTCTCTCTCTTTCTCTGTTTCTCTCTTTCTTTGTTTCTCTCTCTCTGTCTCTCTCTTTCTGTCCCTTTCTGTCTCTCTTTCCCTGTCTCTCTCTCTTTGTCTTTCTCTCTGTGTTTCTCCGTCTCTGTTTCTTTGTCTGTCTCTTTCTCTTTTCTATTTGTCTGTCTGATGTAGTTTGGCACACTTTTATTCGGGTCTTGGTTGATACTTGCTCCAAGGGCATTATGAAGTATTCCAACACAATGTAGTGTATCGTGAGGTATTTGATGGTTACCGTTGGCTCCTATGCAGCCAGGTTGTAGCAAAGGACAAATTTATATGGATATTGCACCTTTATATTTTTGCAACCTCTTGTTGGCTACGCAAAAAAACTTCCCGTCTTGCTTATAATTCTGCCCTTGGCTTTCGCCATGGCATTCTAGACAAAACTTCTTGAATGATGAAATCTGCCATGCTGCATATTCCACCTGAATTGCTGGAAGCAGCGAGTCATCTGTTCATTTCTGGGCGTCTTATCAGTCTCATATTTTCAGCCACCTCTCGTGGGAGGAGCGCAGGATGGAACTTATCGGCATCCGTCCAATCTAATTTCATATGGGACTTCAAGTAGCCTGCGGGCTTGCGGCCATCTGACACTTGGACGCTGGCTTGCTCTGCCTTGGTGTTTTACAATGGATTGCCATGGCCAGTATGTGCCATTGCGTGACCCATGCATTACGGGAAGCGGGGCATCTGAGCGGGGGCTGGTAATTAACTGCTGAACGACTTTTTCCGACTAAGCCTGTAAGTCGCAGCATGTCTCATCGCTTTTGGTAGCTTTTTTGGTCTTAGTTGCTTTTTGTTGCTTATCTTAGGACTCAGTGCGGCAGCCGCCGTCGACGAGGCCTATCCACGCAAAAAAAAAAGCAGCGAGTCATATGCGGTGCAGCAAGCTTCGGGGCGCCTAGGCTTCAAAAATTTTGAGGAAATTTCTATTGTCTTATGTTATAAATGCAAAAAAATGTCTTGCAGCCAGTTGCAATTCTTGCCCTGGAACATCGTTCCTTATCCATTCATAAGGTTTTAAATCACAAGGATTTTCACATGCAGTGCCATGGAGCAGCGCTTGCACGCGAAAATTCAGTATCTGTCTGTGTGTTTGTCTGTGCCTCGGTCGGTCCGTCCGTCGGTTTGTCTGTTTGTCTGCTTGTTTGTTTGTTTGTCCGTCTCTCTGTCTCTTTGTCTGTCTCTCTGTTTGTCTCTCTTTCTGTCTCTCTCTTTGTCTCTTTCTCTTTGTCTTTCTTCCTTTGTCTTTGTTTCTTTTTCTCTTTGTTTCTATCTCTCTCTTTCTGTCTCTTTGTCTCTTTCTTTCTGTCTTTCTTTCCCTGTCTCTTTCTCTTTGTCTTTCTTTCTGTGTCTCTCTGTCTCTGTTTCTTTGTCTGTCTCTTTCTTTTTTCTATTTGTCTGTCTGATGTAATTTGTCACACTTTTATTCGGTTCTTGGTTGATACTTGCTCCAGGGCACTATGAAGTATTCCTACACAATCTAGTGCAACGTGAGGTATTTGATGGTTAGCATTGGCTCCTATGCAGCCAGGTTGTAGCAAAGGACAAATTTATATGGATATTGCACCTTTATATTTTTGCAACCTCTTGTTGGCTACGCAAAAAAACTTCCCGTCTTGCTTATAACTCTGCCCTTGGCCTTCGCTATGGCATTCTAGACAAAACTTCTTGAATGATGAAATCTGCCATGCTGCATATTCCACGTGAATGCTGCAAGAAGCGAGTCATTTGTTCATTTCTGGGCGTCTTATCAGTTTCATTTTCAGCCACTTCTCGTGGGAGGAGCGCAGGATGGTCAGCCATTGCAGCTCGGCATCCGTCCAATCTGATTTCAAAAGGGACTTCAAGTAGCCTGCGGGCTTGTGGCCATCTGACACTTGGACGCTTGCTCTGCCTTGGCTTACAATGGATTGCCACTGCCAGTATGTGCCATTGCGTGACCGATGCC